TTGTGACCATCTGGGAAGTGAACCAGTAGATGGAAGACACTCTCTCTCACTCTCTCTCTCTCTGCCTTTCCTCTCTTTGTAACTCTGATTTTCAAATAGATAAATAAATCTTAAAAAAAGAAAAAAAGATGACATACAAATGGCCAAGCACAGGAAGAGATGTTCAATACCGCTAGTCATTAAGAAAACCCATATCAAATCCAAATGAGATTACCCAACAGGGTGGTTACTACCGGAAACAACAACAAAACCAGAATAACAAGTGGTGGTGAGAATACGGGAAAATCGGCACACCGCTGGTGAGAAAGTAAAATAGAACAGTAACTATTTTATGGAAAACAGTAGGGTAGGTCCTCCAAAACATAAAAAGAGAATTTCCACATGACCCAGCAACTCCACCTCTGGGTATATAAGCAAAAGAGGGTTATTCACAACAGCCAAAAAAGAGGAGGCACGCACATGTCCATCTGCAGGCGAGTAAACAAAGTACGGTCGGCACACTCAATGGAATATTATTCAGCCCTCAAAAAGAAGGAACTTCTGATACAGGATACAACCCGAGGAACCTGGGGGACGTTAAGCAGAGTGAGATGAGCCAGGCACCAAGACGACGAGCACTGTGCATCCCACTTCCGTGCCGGGCAGTAGAGTGGTGGCCGCAGGCGGTGTCTAAGGAGCGCAGCCTTTCAGCTTTGCAAGAGGAAAGGGCCCGGAGCAACAACGCGATTGCACAACGCGAATGCACCTCATGCCACTGATCTGCACGTGTAAAGCTGGTGACCACGGTCAGCTGTGCGTTGTGTGCATTTAACAACTTGGTGAGTAGCGTCTAGAACTGGGGTTTCAAACTCCAGGAGGCTGAAGAATAACCCAAGAGGGGCCGGCACTGTGGGGTAGCAGGTAAAGCCACCGCCTGCAGTGCTGGCATCCCATATGGGTGCCAGTTTGAGTCCCAGCTGCTCCACTTCCAATGCAGCTCTCTGCTGTGGCCTGGGAAAGCAGTGGAAGAAGGCTCAAGGCCATGGGCCCCTGCACCCACATGGGAGACCCGGAGGAAGCTCCTGGCTCCGGATCAGCACAGCTCCCTCCATTGCGAACAACTGGGGAGTGAACCAGCAGATGGAAGACCTCTCTCTCTCTCTCTCTCTCTCTCTCTGCCTCTCCTTCTCTGTGTAACTCTTTCAAATAAAAAATAAATAAATAAATCTTTAAACAACAACAACAACAAAAAAAAAACAACCACCCAAGGTGCTTGCTAAGCACTCAGATCCAGGGCCCCTCCCCCAGACACTGTGATTCAACAAAATTGGGGGTTCTGGAATCTGCATTTTCATAAACACCTCAGGCAGATTTAACTCATTAAGAACTCATCTATTTCTCTCTTCTAAAGGGTCAGGAGATACTCTTCTGATGCGCTGATCAGTATCTGTTTTAAAAAGTGTGTGTCTGTGTCTATGTGTGGGATGCTTAGCTTCTGTAACTATAAAGAAGGAAAGAACAACTCAACGCTGATCCCAGCCACAGGCCCAGTAAGATGGCCCTCTGGTCCTCGGGGACGTATGAGCCACAGAGCTCCGTGTGCCATCCCCGGGCTCCAGGCCCACGGGCCTCTCACATTTCTGCCTGGACATGCGCCGCATCTTGCCAGAAGCGTGTCAAGTAAACCAAACACATGCCCACAGGATGTCCCCAGCGAGGGAGGCGATGTCACGCAGCCTGCAGCGGCTCTGCCTCCCAGGCAGCTGCAGACAGATCTGACTCAGGCGAGGCTGCTGCACACAGCACACACAACATGGGGAAACCACAATTCCCAAGGGCAGCCCAGCGTGCAGGAAGCCAGAGAGAGCCCAAGGGGGCCGTGAAAGGCTGGCCAGAGTGGGCCTTGGGGACAGCGAGAGCAGCCTGGGGTGAAGCCCCCCACTCCAGGAACCCAGGCCTCTCCTTCCACAGCCAGCTAGCAGAGGAGGTCCTGCTTACTCACCCACAGCCGGCCAGCCCAACCACATCCAGCCTTGTACTCATTTGTTACCTTCATCATCGTAATAGCACCTTTGACACTGCCTGCGCTCGGCTCCAGTGCCATCCATACTTTGCAGTGCAGCGAAGACGTCGCCCTCTGAGCACGATGCATGCCCTGCTTCCAACCTGCTAAGGTACAAGTGCCCGAGCCAGTGGATTGCTAATTCCCCCAGAAGCAGGTCTGCCACGATTTTGATAGAGACGAAGCTTCAGGCCCTCCCTTACCCCTTACCCCCTGAGAGGGCATCTAGCAACGTGTTCACTCAGTGTGCTGCTTTGTAATATGTACAAAAGATATTCTGTGGGGCCAGCACCGTGGCATGGTGGCCTAAGCCTCTGCCTGTGGCACCAACATCTCATATGGGTGCCGGTTCGAGTCCCGGCTGCTCCACTTCCTATCCAGCTCTCTGCTGTGGCCTGGGAAAGCAGTAGAAGATGGTCTGAGTGCTTGGGCCCCTGCACTTGTGTGGGAGACCTGCAATAAAATCCTGGCTCCTGGCTTCAGATCGGCACAGCTCCGGCAGTTGCAGCCAACTGGAGAGTGAACCAGCAGATGGAAGACCTCTCTCTCCCTCTGTAACTCTACCTTTCAAATAAATAAATCTTTAAAAAAAAATTCTTTTTCTTACAGCAACCTCCGCCTCAACACACTGTAGGAGTCGGGACCTGACACTGCGGCCCACCTAAATTTCACATCCACCCCCTTCCCCAACCTGCACAAGGCCGGGTGCAGCCACACACATGAGCTCCTCATCTTTCCAACTGACTATCCTTGTGAGGTTAGCTTTATTTGCTACTGTAGGCTTATTTTTATTTGCCTTTTTCACAGTTAAGGAAATGGGAATTCAGAATGGTCCCATAACTTGCCTAGGGTGACCTGGGATTCAGGAGGTAGCCTGAGATTCACAACCAAAACCCTGAACCAACTCACACTGTGGCATTCCTACTTGGCCTGATAAGAAGTAATAACCACAAACAGAAAGACATTATGGGCTGGTGTTGTATGGCAGTGGGTTAAGCCTCTGCCTACAACGCCGGAACCCCATAACAGAGCATCAGGTCCAGGCTGCTCCGCTTCCGATCCAGCTCTCTGCTCATGCAGTGCAGAAAGACCCAAGTGCCGGGCCTCTGTCAACCACGTGGGAGGCCAGAATGGAGTTTCTGCCTCCTGGTTTTCGCCTGGCCCAGCCTCGGCAGTTGCCGCCATTTGTGGAGTGAACCACCGATGGATGATGTCTGTCTCCGCCTCTCTCTGTCACTCTGCCTTTCAAATAAACAAATTAAAAAAGAAGACACTAGAAATTAACAAAGGATCCTTCTCAGTCATCAGTTCACAAGCCCTTAATGAAAACAGCTAAAGCTCATGGGCCACTTGCCACACGCCAGGCACCGAGCTAAACTTTTCTTCCAGTGACCCTTGAACCTCTCACCACAGTCAGACAGAGGCTGCCATTCGCTTCCCTCCACAGAGAGAACGCAGACTCAGAAAAATATACCAATATGCCCACGAATGCAAAGCAGCAAAGCCAAGACTGAAGCCGAGGCCGGATTCCAAGCCTCGCCCTTAGCCGTGGTATTGTCAATGTTCCAGCTGCAAGTGGACAAAGCACTCCAGCAGGACAGAGAGGCGGGGTGCGGGTGACACCCTGCAGTGACCCTGCCTTCAGCCGAATCAGGGTGTGACCTAACCACTAAAAGGAACGAAAAACGTGAAGATGAGCAAGGGGTTTGGAGCTCAGGTACCTGCAGAGGCCCCTTCTCTCCAAGGCCCCTCTAAGTATTCTGCGTGTGCTGTGGGGTCTCAAAGCACCCCCACCCGACTTCCAGCAAACAAGAAACGTGTCACCAGCTCCAGCAATGAACCATCAGGCACCCCGGCTTTCATGGGCTCTAGGCTTCCACACAGCCTATCTACTGAGTATTCTAAGGCTTTTCTGGGGCAGCTAGGGCTGTTGAACCCTCCGTGCTAAAATGAGATGAGATGCAGCCAGCTGTTGAGAGAAACACAATGAGACCATACTGAGAAGCTACCACCAGAGACAAAGGCCCCTAAAGCAGGGCTGGCCTGCTCTCTGCTTTTATGGCGGAAATATGTCTCTGGGCAGGGAGCAGAGAGGGGCTTCTGCCCTCCCGGGGTGTTCCTCTGGACGGGCTGCTTGTTGAGGGGCAGGGAACAGAAGAACCGCATCTCTAACGGGGAGAAAGGCTGATATTAGGAACAGCTGTGTGTTGATAACAAAGGACAAGGATGCTCCCGGGTCTCCCTCGGCCACCTGTGCTCTGTCTCCCGCCTGGCTATGCCCTGGCGCTGCCCGCTCACACCTCACTTAGGCTGGAGTCACTCTAGGGTGCTCAACCCATGTCTGACCATCCAGCCTGGATGGGCACCCGGCCGGGCATCTCACCCTGCAGACAGGTGCCCTAGGGTTTGGGGTGGGGGGGAGATTCTCTCTGCTGTGCCCAGGTCACACCAGTGGCCGGCACCCCTGAAGGATGTCTCAGGGTCAGGTGCACTCCGGCCTGCATCCATGTGAGCAAAGAGAGCTGGACCCCCAGGCCAGGCCGGCCGAACGACGGTCCGCAGCCTGCGGCCAGGTGGCCGCGGCACAGGTGAGCCGCCTCGCCTCGCCTCGCCTCGCCTCTCCCACGGCGTTGGAGGCTCTCGGGGGCCGGCTCCTCCTCTGCCCGGCCCTGGGGGCGCTGCTTTGCACTCGGACTCCCGCTCCCTCCCGCCGCAAGGCCGAGCCAGGGACGGGGAGCCGCGGCGGGCGGGCGGGCGCGCGCCGGGCCCGACAGAGGCCGCCCGGGCCTGCCCAGCCGCGGGCCGGGCACGGAGCCCGCAGGCCTCGGCGCGGCCCGGCTCCTCCCGTCCGCCCGCCCCTCGGCCCGGGGCCCGCGTCCGCCCGCCCGTCCGCCCGCCCGCCCTTCGGGCAGCAGGGCCGGCTCGGCCGAGCCGCGGCGGCGCCCGGGCCTCACTTAACTGTTCCCCGCTGGGGCGGCTGCGGCGGCGGCTGTGGCGGCGGCGGGTCCCGGCTCCGTCTCACGCAGAAGCAGCTTCTCATCGCCCGGGCGGCGCGGGAGGGGCCGGGCCCGGGGCCCAGGCGGCGGGAGCCGGCGCCGCAGCTCGAGCGCGAGCCTCGCGGGGAGCGGCGGCGGCGGCGGCGGCGGCGGCGGCTGCGGGAGGGGCGGGGCGCGGCCTGGCGGCGGCGGCGGCGGCGGCGGCGGCTGCGGCGACAGCGACAGCAGCAACAGCGGCGGCGGCGGCTCCCTCCGCGGGCCGCGGCCGGCTCCGGGCCCCCGGCGGTGGCGCTGGCTTCGGGGGCGGCGCCCGGCGCCCGAGGCTGGTTGGGCGGGAGGAGGGAGCGGGAGTCCTGGGTCCCGAACCCGCGCCGCCGGCTCGGCTTGTCCACTCCGGGGAGGCCCCCGGCACGCCGACCGGGCCTCACGGAGCCCGCGGGCGACCCCTGCCCGGCCTCCGGCCTCAGGCCTCGGGCGCCCGGGGCGTGGATCGTCCCTTGCCCCCAAGGTGGGCTTCTCCGGGCACCCTCGGCCCGCTTAGGTCGCCTGGGCCTCGCTGTCGTCCGCGTGGCTGCAGGTCCCGGAAGCCCCCCGGCCTCTTCTCGGGACTCGCGTCCTTCCTTTGCGGAGCCCCAGGGCGCTCCCTTGGTTCCTGCCACTGCCCGCGCTGCCCTAGCGGGGGCCAGCCGAGCCTCTCAGGCCGGCTGCGGTCTCCTCGCTGCACGCAGGATTTACCTCGGAGGCCGAATGTATGGGGCTGGCCTCAGGGAAGCTTCTAGAAGAAGCGGCGGAGGCAGGATCCTGTCCTGCAGTACTTGGGGAACGGTACAAGCCCAGTAGACTGGAGCTGGGTGAGGAGGGAGGGGTCCCAGAGCTTGGTCCGCAGAGGGGCTTGTAGGAGAGGCAGGGGCGGACCACCCTCAGCACAGCCCCAGCAGGGGCGAGGGTGCCATCTGAGAAGTTTCTGGCCCGGACGCTGGCGCGGAGGAGCCGTCCCGTCAGTGTCCAGCACACACGTGCTAGGTTTTTCCGAAACAGCTGTTTGAGCCTCGAGAAAAGGGTGCAGAAGCCACCGCCGGGCGTGGGTTCCCTGTGTCTGGGTCTCTCGGAAGTGCCGCTGGTTCCTGTGGGGTCCCCCGCAGGTGCTATGGTAACGTCAGGGGATCCTCTCCGTGTTCCTTAAAATATTATATTGCAAAACGAGGTGGGGTTTCCATTTCGTTTCCCAAGCTTAGCATAACCCTGACAGCAAAATGCAACAGAAATAGCACCAAAAGGGAGAACCGCGTGTAACTGCACAACCCTTGTCCCTAGGGAATTTAATAAGTGTGGTTTTTTTTGTGGGGGGGGAGGGGGACTTGTGCAAATAACGTGAGACGCAGGTGCTGCGAGCCGGCTAGAGAACCTCTGGGAGGTGACTAAGTGTTAGCGTGTTGTGGTTTCTGAGAAGCCCGACAGTAAAGAAACCCGGCGTTCCCAGCCTCATCTGGGCCAGCACCACCTTAGCCAAGTCCACTGATTAATCTCCATAGGTGAATCTCTGCTGTAGACCAACTCACTAGGTAAACCTGCAAAACCGTGAAATAAAATTTTAGCCATTTGAAGCCAGCTTTCTGTAACGCAGATCAAAGCCTGCCATGATCAAAACCTGTTCCAACAGTACAATGATAACAGCATTAGGGAATCTGTACATGGACTGTACTGTTAAAGGCAAAAAAATCGGGAAATTATCAACAGGACACATAGCTTAAAAATATTTGATAAACATCAACACAAATGGCTCGTAGAACTTTTTAAACAGTAAACTGGGAAGGAAACAGACTTCGTAACATGGCAGTTTATGTATTAGAAGCCGTCAACAGACATATTTAAGGGTGAAATGTTAAAGGCTTTCTTATTTTTTAAGTCACAAAATATATATAAATTTATATATTGATAATTATAGTTTGTACCTATAATTGCTACCAACTACAGCCAATGCAATATGATAAGAAAAATAAACTCAAAATACAAATATTAGAAAGGAAGAAATACAGTTGTCATTATTTGCTTACGATTTAAATGTTTCCCCAAAAATAAAACTACACATCTTAGAGACTGATAAGGCTTTCCTCACTGCTAAGGGAAAGCTTTTGTTTCCATAGGGAGGAACTTCAGTTAGAACAAGACTTCTGGCCTCTCTCCCCCCAGGGGAGGATGAGTGAATTTGAAGAAGTGTTGAGTTGAGTTTGGGAGAAAGAGCTGGACAAACACAGACGCTTCTAAGTTCTCTTTGTGGGTTTCGCCGACTGCAGAGAGCAGGTATTTTCATGAGCTCCCTGTGGGAAGTGCACCTGTTTCCGGGGCAGAGAGACAGCATTGTCCCACACTGCTTGCAACTAGAGAGAGAAATCTACCCAATCAGGAGAGAAACACGAGCCTAGCAAACTGGCATAGCTACAGATCAAAGGCTACATTTTCCAATCAGCTTTATTAATAACACAGGTAGTAGCAGGGGTCTTTTAAAATTCCATGAAAAACATGTGCTGTGAAAAAATATGCGTGGATTTTTCAAAATCTTATCTTTCAATTCCATTTTCCCAGAAACTTTTTATGTGTATGTCTCTTACCTGTATCTGTGCCACAGTTTAATCCAAATTCAGAAGAGGGGGGAGGAATTATTCATCACGTCCCCCAGAGATAACTAACTACCTGTGATTTCCACTTGGAAAATATAAAGGAAAAAACAAAGTTATACTCCTATTAGCAGAGAAGGCTAGCAGGCCCTAAGCTTAACGAGAAATGGCAAGGTCCATAGAAAGACAACTAAAAACTTGATATCAATTAACAGAAAAATACGACAAATCCCTCAGCAGGAAGTCTCAATAGTACAGAGACGACCTATCTTCTCACCTTGATTCATAAACAGTGAAATCCAGATCGAAGAACCAATATGTTTCGGGGGAGGGGGTGGGATTAAACATGGCAAAATTATTTTATATCTTACTAAATATGGGGAAATGATCAGGAAATGTTTGAAATGGAATAATGGTGAGAAATTGCTTTAATGGGTATTAAAATATAATGTAAAACTTTGATAAATAAAACTATGGGGCCAGCGTTGTGGTGTAGCAGGTTAAGCCTCCAGCAGTGCCAGCATCCCATACAGGCACCTGTTCAAGTCCTGGCTGCTCCACTTTTTTTTTTTTTTTTTTTGACAGGCAGAGTGGACAGTGAGAGAGAGACAGAGAGAAAGGTCTTTCTTTTTGCCGTTGGTTCACCCTCCAATGGCCACCGCTGCTGATCCGATGGCAGGAGCCAGGTGCTTCTCCTAGTCTCCCATGGGGTGCAGGGCCCAAGTATTTGGGCCATCCTCCACTGCACTCCCTGGCCACAGCAGAGAGCTGGCCTGGAAGAGGGGCAACCGGGACTAGAACCCGGTGTGCCGGCGCCGCAAGGCAGAGGACTAGCCTAGTGAGCCATGGCGCCGGCTCTGCTCCATTTTCAATCCAACTCCCTGCTACCATGCCTGGGAAAGAAGCAGAGGTTTTGGGCCCCTGCACCTATGTGGGAGACTAGGGAGAAGTTCCTGGCTCCTGGCTTCAGCCTGGCCCAGGCCTGGCCATTGCGGCTATTTGGGGAATGAACCAGAGGGTGGAAGATCTCTCTCTCAGTCTCTCCCTCTCTCTCTGTAACTCTAGCTTTCCAATAATTAAAATAAACCTTAAAAAAAAGAAACAAGAAATTTTGAATTATTAGTGTAAAATAGACACTTTTATCCATCTATTCATATATTTCTATGCAAATAGGACATGTATATACCCCAATTCAGACCATATTATCTAGCCTAGCCTAGACCTAACTTTCTTATTGGCTCACGACTTTGCCCCTATCCAACAAAAGAAAGCCACAACCAAAGCGAGCATTTAAATAACAACAACAACAACAACACTGCAGGTCTGCAGGTCACTTTCTTGCTTAAAGATAAAATTCAAATGATCCAGCAACCTACGGGGCCCCATGCTGTCTTGGACCTTGCCTTCCCTCCATCCTCCTCTCAGCTGCTGTAACCTCACCTGCTGTGTTTTAGCTCCTTAAATATCCACGCTGTTTCCCCTCTGGGTGACTCTGCCTGTGGCACTGCCTTTTTTTTTGACAGGTAGAGTTACAGTGAGAGGGAGAGACAGAGAATGGCTGCAACAGTTGGAGCTGGGCCGATCCAAAGCCAGGAGCTAGGAGCTTCTCCTTGGTCTCTCAGGCAGGTGCAGGGGCCCAAGTGTTTGGGCCATCTTCTATTGCTTTCCCAGGCCATAACAGAGAGCTGGATCAGAAGAGGAGCAGCCGGGACTCGGACCAGAGCCCATATGGCTCGAACCAGCACATATATGGGATGCTGGCACCGCAGGCGGAGGATTAACCTATTGCATCACGGTGCTGGCCTGGGCCCCCGCCCTCCTCCTTTGCAAAGGTGGCGCCCCTGTCCTTAGCTCTCCACTTAGGTGATATTCCATGGAAGACTTCACCAGTCATCTGTGAAGCAGGTCTGTGACGTTGCCAGATGGCCTTGGTGCCTCTCCTGCTTATCATTCATCACAATTTGTAACTATCTGCTGCTTGTTTACCTGCTCACTTGTCAGTCTTCCATCCCAGACCACCAAGCTATGCCTCTGTTTTGTTCACCAAACATAAATGTACACACATACTAGCCCCTCAATAAACATTTCACAGATAGATGTGTCAACATTTACTATGTGCATACCCTTTGTCCATGTCTAATAATTTATCCAAAGTAAACAATCAGACAAGTGCACACAGATGTATGTTCAAGGATAATTATTTCAGCATTGCTTATAATGAGAAAATATTGGATATAGCCTAAATGACTGGTAACAGAAGACTGAGTCATTGAAAAAAGGTTGTACTGACATAGGAATATACCATGGTACTTTTTAACATGAAAAAACAAAACAGGTTATAGAACAAAATGCGTTGACTGTGTGAGCTCATCGATTTCATATACATTTGTGATGGATGTATTCCTATTCATGCACACTTGAAAAAATATATCCCAGATGTTAACTGTTTAATGGCGGCTATGTCTTGGGGATGGTTACACCTACACAATCATTTTCTATTTTAGCATATTTACATCATTTAGGAATAGGGATATAAAT